GCAATATCCATATGCTCATAAAATGTGCCTTTCTTTTTGATCCATAGTTTAAAATAACTGGTTCCTAAACCAGCATGATGTAAGAACATGATGATTTTCCTTGGTGCTACAGCCTCTGGGTATCCTCAGATTATGTCCTGTCACACTACTACACCTATCATAAACTGGTAACCAGTTTCTTTCCAGTTTTGAGCACAAAGATTACTTCAACTTGTCAGTTATCTATTGGGTAACAGTGTTATTTCTGGTGTCAGATAAATGTATAATTCAGAAAATTATGTTCCTGTCAAAAGACTTATAATTTTAGAATATTCACCAGTACGAGATCCAAAGAAGATTCTGTTGAGAGAACTTCTTAATTACTCCTTTTCTTCTCTTAAAGAAGCACACAAGTTAAAACGCCAATGAAAAAGCAGAGAAGAAAGTGGGCACTGTTTCAGGACTGGGGCCGCGGTGGGAGATGAGGAAAGGATAGTGCTGGTGAGGACACCAAGGTTATAAGGAAGTGTTCCCATTGAACAGTAACAAAAAAGTCATGAGTTTAGATGGTTTTCAATCTAACTGCCAAACTCACAGTGTCCACAAAATTATACAAAGACACATGTTCCCTTTTTAGGAGTCAAAGGAACTAATTTTGGGGAGATACATTTGTTCTTTAATATCTAATTTTTCTTGAACTGATATACCATTAGAACATGTATATTCAGCGAGTCTATTAATGAAACCTGAAAAAAATACATTTACATTTACAAGAACTTTGATAGGCATATCACACTCAAGACCCATGTAGGCATAGCTAATTTGGCTACATTACTATAAAGAATCAGAGGTTAAACAAAGGTTTTTAAATTGTGTTGTAAGATTCCAAATTTTATTTCCAAGTGGTTTCCCACAGCTAGTGAGGAGGTCTTCATAAAGTAGAAGGAAAAATAGACTGAAAGCAGAACACAGAATACAAAATTTTTCATAAGTACTGAAGACAGTAGAATACTTCACAATCAACATCTGGCCCACACAATTTAAGGCTTGTATGTAGTCAGTGTAAATCCTTGAGAGCAGAGACCTGCCTTTCTCTTCTGTAACTGCCAGAATATTTTATGCAGATAACTACACACAGTGAGAGCTCAGTAAAAGTGATCTGGTCACCAGGACAGTGGTTCTGGGTCTCAAGAGATTCTTAGAGTCTACTAGATACTGGGCACTCTTCTGGGAACAAAGGAAAACAAACCAGCAAACTCTTCTCCCTTAGGAACACACAGTTCCAAACAGGGAGTGATGGAAAGTGAAGTGAAGCTACCTGAGCAGTCCTGTTACCCCTCAACCCAAAAGTTTCTTTTTCATTTCTGATTTTGGAATGGTTCTGGTATCTGCTCTTCATTTTTCTGCTTAGTTGTTTTCTTTTTTTAATTTTATTTTATTGAGTATAGTCAGTTTACAATGTTGTGTCAATTTTCAGTGCAGAGCCCAATTTTTCAGTTATACATGAACATACATATATTCATTGTCACATTCTTTTTCACCGTGAGCTACTACAAGATCTTGTATGTATTTCCCTGCACTATACAGTATAATCTTGTTTATCTATTCTACATACACCTGTCAGTATCTACAAACTTCGAACTCCTGGTCTGTCCCTTCCCACCCACCCTCCTTTTCTGCTTAGTTTTAAAAAGAAACCCACTAGAACACATCCCTTTTCTGACAATAATTTGTATTACAGTGTTTGAAGTTGTCTTGCCTTTGCCATTTCTTAAACAATTTGCCTATGACGTGCTACCCACTGCCGCTGCTCTAAGTACTGGGGATCGAACTGAACAAAACCAGAATTCATGCCTGCATGGAACTACATCTGGGATGCAATTACCCTCCTCTAATAAATACACCAATTACCATGCTCAACACCAGGGAAGAACTGAGTATTGTGACAGAAAACAACGGTGAGGGAGATGGAAGTAGGGACCTACCTTAGTGAAGGTCAGGGAAGGCCTCTCCAGGGAAATGACATTTAAGCTGAGACCCTAAAGTCAAGGTACCAATCAGGAGGAAAAGTGTTCCAGGCAGAGGGAACAGCAAGGAAAAGGGCCCAGGGGTAGAAAAGTTTCACGTGTTTGAGGATCTGAGAGAAGGCCCCTGACCGAGGAGCTGTGAACATGAGGGAACAAGGCATGAGTTTATTCTGTGAGTGCTTAATACATGCCAGATGTCATGCTAAATACCTCAGTGCATACTCTTATGTAATCACTACCAGAAACCTATGACGTTAGATACCCCACCATTTTCAAAATGAATTAAGCACATGAGAGGCTAAGAAACTTGCTCAAAATCACATAACAAGTGGTGGAGCTTGGATGCAATTGAGTGCAGTTTGAATCCAAAGATCACATTTTAAACTCAACCTTACAGCCAAAGTTAGAAGGCAGAAGCCAAATCACATGGGGCTCAATATGCCACAGTCAGGATGTTGAATTTTATTTTAAACAAAGTAGAAAGCTTTAAGCAAAACAGTGACATCATCTGATTTACATTTCTACTGTTGCTGCTGTGCAGGGGGCCAGAGGGGGGCTGGTGGGGATCAGCATATATAAAAGAAAGGAAACCAATAAGTAGCCAGGAGAGAAATGATAGTGGTCTCGACTAGAAGTAGACAGATTCAAGATCTACTCTGGAGCAGATCAAAGTAGACTTGTCAATGATTTGGACACATAGAATAAAAAAAAAAGGAAAAGCTAGGATAACTCTCAGGTTTCTGGCTTTAGTAACAAATGGGTCATGATAATAATGAAGTGGTTAAGGATCAGACTGAGTTTGGGAAGGAAGGGTAGATTCATTCAACAAATCTTTATTGAGCTTCTACTATGTGGGGATACAGCAGAATACAAAACTGTCTTGTCCTCACAGAGTTTACATCACTTGAGTGGAGAGCAGTTAGACAAATTAACATGTAAGCCATAAAATGGTAATAAGTGCTATACAAACAATAAAGAAGGTTAAGTGGGAAAGAAGTTTACTATTTTAACTGAAAGGTCAGAGAAAGTTTCTCTCATGTATAAGTAGAGACCTAAAGGAAACAAAGGAAGCAGCCCTGAAGACTTCTGGGAGAAGAGTTTCTGGCAGTCTGAATAAGACTGCAATGGTCCTGAAGCAGGTGTGTTCTTGGTACATTTGAGGACTGGCAAGGCCAGGGTGGTACTACAGAGTAGGTAAGGGAAAAAGCAACAGGAGATCAGAGGAGGAACATGCAATATGTAACTTTGCTTAAGGACTCTTGCTTTTTTCACTTTGGGTAAAATAGGAACCCTCCAGAAGATGTGAACAGAGGACTGGAAGAGTGGTGTTACTCAGGCTGCAACATGGAAACAAGGGAGCAAGGGTGGAAACAGATTCAAGAGGCACTAATCCTCTGGTGGATCAGACCAGGAGGTGGTAAAAGGGTCTGATTTAGGACAGGTTTTGAAGGGCTGATACGATTTGTTGAAGGGATTAGATAACGGTGGCATTAAGAGAGGAGTCAAGGAAGACTGGAAGATTTTTTTGGCTTGTGCCAAAGAATGAGGTTACCATTTACTGGGATGATATGAGCGTGAGAGAAAGAGATTTATGTCGGAAAACCATGAATTCACTTTGCCATATTAAGATGTATATTCATTACAGATTTAAATACACTGTAGACAGTTATTTTCTGGATTTCACAAAAGCCTCAGTTGGAGATACAAGTCTTCGGAATACTGACGATATTTAAACCATGGGAATGGATCTAGGAAAAAGTAAATAGAGACTAGTGTCCAGAACTGAACCCCTGATAAACTCCATCAGATATTTCTATTTCCTACCTAGTAACCTTATAATAAAACTGTTCTCATTTTTAAAGCTGTTACTTACTACATCAGCAGTTTCTAAAGTCATCATCAATGGGACACAGCGATAAACTAAAAAGATTATACCATGCAAATCTCAAAAGAAAAAGAAAAAAATGAACACCACTCATGATCAGACTATCAGGTATTTAAAAAATAATTCCAACTATAGATGCTATACAATTCAGTGATTAAATACATGGCACATGGGTTCAGGCTGCCTAGATTTTAATTCTGGTCCCCACACTTATTATTTATGTGACCCATGGCAAGGTACTGGGCCACTTCCCTTAGCAGTAAGTTGAGGATAACAACTTGTTGGATTGTTGTAAATGAATTAATACCTGAACTTTTGCACTCAAAAAGTGAGCTGTCTTACTATCATTGACACTAAGTTATTTAAACAAAAGTTGGGAGTGAGAAACCTTGCAGCTAATCACACTAATTTTTCAATTATCTTAACCAAAGACTTATAGGTCTGTTTAAATTTCAAAACAAGGCCAAAACGTGTTCCTAAACTCAATCCTCTTCACTAAGGGCTTGCAGCTCCTAGTTTGGATTTTAAAACAAAGCCACAATACACCCCCAAATTCCTTAGCATCCAAAGCAATCTTTGGAGGCAGAGGGGAAAAGGGAGGAACCAGATAGTCGACCTCACACATTAGAGTAAGTACGTCTGATAACAAGGTCCATCTGTGACACAGGTTACCAGGGCCCGAATCCCTCTTAACCAGTTATTTGATTCCCTTCTGGCCTCTCCTCTAGAGGATGAATGTGCTTTCGAAGATACATGTTAAACAAAGCTTTTGAATGGAAGTGCAGCGAAGTACAGAGAATCCATCTCTATGGCAGTTAACAGGGAAAGACCTCTCCACAGTCACAATCTATCCCTTTTCCCTAGGACCCAGGTGCACCGTGAGGTCAGACTCCTCTCTAGTGGGTTACCGGAAAACGGCGACCTTCCCTTATCTGGCCTCCACCCCCGGCTCTGTCCCCTGGAGCAAAGAGCCGGCGCAAAGCAGCTACCCTCCCTACCTCGCCTTCCTCTAGCCGGACTCCGGGGCCCACACTCGGGCCCAGGTTCCAGCCTCCCAGCCGGCGGAGACACCCAGGGAAGAAACAATAGGGCCGTGGCGGCTGCCGTACCTTTCACGGTCGCGGCCGTCGAAGTAGACGAAATCGCCGCTCTGGACACACTTGGCGCAGGTCAGCCGCCGGCGAGTGGTGTTGCACAGCGGGCACCGCTCGACCGCCACGTAGAGCCCTTCTGCGTCGTCCACGGAATCCACCAGGTCCGGGGCGAGCGGCTGGGGCCCGCAGCCAGGAGCCTCTGGCGCCCGGGCTCCCTTCCCACTGGGAGACGCCATGATGGCCTGAGAACAGATCCAGTCACGTGGGATTTTGTTTTCAACCCGGTGCATCCTGGGCGAGGAGGAGGGGCCTGGGGGAGGTGCCGGGAGCGCGGCGGGGATCGCACCAACCCTCTCCCAGCCTGACCCAGCCTTCGGCTGCCCGAGGCCGGAGGCGCTGACGATCTTCCTGACCGTTCAAGGGCGGCGGTCCCGAAGCAGGAAGAATTATGTTAGAGGGGCGAATCCGCCCAACAAAATGTCATCAGTGGCTCCATCCTGCCCAGGCTACAAGTTAACGCCTCAAACTTATGCAAGAAATAGTAATACGATGCCCTAAGGATTCTGGGAAAACGGATTGGGACCGCAGTAAGGGGATTTCTGCAACTCGCTATGAAGGCTTTTAAATTTGGCTAAAACTACAGCAGAGTTGGGTGAGGGAGCTGGGTCTTGGAGCGAAGTTGAGTTTTTTGGCTCACCCACCTTAGCTGTGGGATTCGAGGCTAATTCCTCATCTCTCTGTGCGTGTGTTCTTACCTGTTAAAATGGAGAGAATTACAGTACCTACCTAACGTCTGATTAATAAGTAAATTCGTTTAATAGTAATGTGATAAGTACTTAACCGCTAATAGCTAACCAGTGGAAACAACCATACTGAACGTGGAAATCAAAGTTCTGTCTTTCTGAAAAATAAATTTTAATGTCCAGCATTTGGCCCCTACTCTGGGCCGTGCGTGCCCTGAGAAAGAAACTAAACTGAGTAGAATTTAACATAGATTATTCCAAAAATCTTTCTGTGGAGGTAAATAGGGTGGATCGGAGGATTATATCGGAGTAACTAGTGTATGAATATGCCTCTAAACTACAGAAGGAAAAAAAAATTGGGCTCAGAGTTCAAATGATCTAGATCAGTGATGCTCAAGGATTATTTCGGTAGGTTGTAAATTCATGACTGCCTTAAATTCTCTCTCCCACTAGGGCTTCTCTCCCAAGTTCCATATCCCCAAATTCATAACTGTCTACATTAGGCTTAAAGTAATGTACTGTGACCACCACAAACTCAGAAATTCAAAAACTGAACTGAACTCTCCCTCCCCAAAATGTTTCCTTATCTTAGTGAAAGACAGAACCACTGACCTCTTGGGAACAAGATCCATGACTCATGTTAGCCCAGCCCTCCCTGTTAACCTCCATATCTCCATCAAATAAGGATGGTTCCACAACCTAATAAGGTCTTGAATCTGAAAGCTTTGCTCCAGCCTCTTAGTCTTATCCCATCTATTTTAATATAATTAGATAGGATTATAAAAGTACCCAAAAAAGCACAAAATCCCTAAACTGTTTTCAAAATAGAGCTTATACTAAACCTAAAATGTTCCTGAAAGTTTGAGATTTATTTTTAAGGGAGAGAAATAATTTTCTGTGACCATTTCAAACGAAAGGATATTTAATTATTTAATTTTTCAGACTCTCATGTTTCATTTGTATTCTGACAGGATCCTTCACAAAGTCTGTACCTAATGGCCAGGATCATCTACTCAATATTTAAAAAGGCAAAAACCAGGCAATTTCCATCCTGCTATTTTGTGCAGTTACTTGAAATGTCTATATATTGCTATGTATTTTCAGAGAGCACATGTTAAGGTACTACATCTTTTAACAGGAGCAGAGCATTAAATTTTAATGTTGCAATACCATTCTAGCAAAGCTGTAATCTTTCAAATTCTGAAATAAGTTTACTTGTTAACATACGAGAATTATTTTGAAAAAGTTTCTTCATTTCTTAACCACACTTTAATAACTAAAGTCAAAATGTGCATGGAACATCTACAATCCAGCTGTTTCTGTGCTGGGCATATGCACATATTCAAACCAATATACTATGAGATGTTGAATGACATACTCAGGTTTTTTTAAAACCCTTTAGAATAGGATAGATGTTTTCAAATGCTTCATAGATCTCAGAACGTTCTTTGGCACCTATAAAGAAATCCAAGTTTACATAATCTTTAATATAAAAACAATACCAAAATTTTCTTAAAACTAGAATTTCATTGTCATCTCCAATTATTTTTTAATACAGTGATGTCTCTTTTGGCATACCTGAGAAGTGGCATTTATTCCTGGTAAAGACAAAAGGATTTCGTGACTATAGCCACTTTCCCACAAATACATACCCTAGAGCAGAGTTTTCTAGTACTTCTGCTACGTGGGCGTATCAGTATGTCTTCAGCCTGGTAGGGCACAGTATGAAATGGGGATGTTATCTCTCAGTGTGTCATGAACGTGACCACAGAACATGACCTTCATCAGCACCTGTGGGCCCTTAGCTACCAGCAAAAGGGACTTCCTTTGATTCACTCATCTCTAGTTCTCTAGTTAACATCCTGATGCCTAGGTTGACTAACAGAGTGAGACAAATGGAACTAAAGTTTTAAATTTTCAGTATATGGGATGGGATTATTCGGGGGAAAAATGTACCATTGTTACCCTTAGAGATAAGTTTCAAGGTATCTTTAATTATAACAGTTCAAGGAGTTAAGATGGATAAAAATATGAGTTAGACACTGTCCCCACCCTTGAGAGAGATGATCAGTCCATCACTACTCATATTTCTCACCACCACCAACCAGTACTAACTACTTTCCACTTCAAAGCGATGCAGGCACATTGTGTTAAGGGTTAAGGACTGGTAGCACTTGTGTTTATATGAAACTGTCAGCTAATCAGGAAACTATTATCTGATATTATTGGGCAGCAGGCAAGTAGATTAATGAAAAGAATATAAAAACTGTTAGCACGAAGAAAAATGGAAAATAGATTAAGGTGATACCTACTCATTCTTGAGTGCTATAAACTTAGAGAGGAGGAAGGCTCAGTGAGAGCAGAAATAACCTGTGAAAGGTGGTTATCTGGCTTAATGATAGGACTAATGAGTGGGAATTACCAAAAGGAGGATCGCCAGATTTGAGAAATAGGTAGAAATAAGGATTCAGAATCAAGGATGAGCTATAATAATTTAAAAAAAAAAGGAAAATGGCAAGTGTTGGCAAAGAGACTGAGAAACTGGAACCCTCACACATTGCTGGTGGGAATGTAAAATGGTTCAGCTACTAGGGAAAACAGTTTGGCAGTTCCGCAAAAATGTTAAAGTAAGAATTACCATGTGACCCAGCAACTCCACTCCTGGGTATCTGGGTATACACCCCCCAGATTGAAAACAAGTACTCAAACAAATAACACGCAAGAAGATACATATTCATTGTAGCACCATGCATAATACCCTCAAAGTAGAAACCCAAATGTCTATCAACAGATGACTGTGTAAACATATTGTGATATATACATACAGTGGAATATTATTCCACCATAAAAAGGAGTGAAGCACTGACGCATACTACAAGGTGGATGAACCTCAAAAACAGTATGCTAAGTGAAAGAAGCCGGAGATGAAAGGTCACATATTGTAAAATTCCATTTATATGAAATCTCCAGAAGAGGTAAATTCACAGGGACAGAATGAAGATTGGTAGTTGCCAGAGGCTAGGGAGAGGGAGGAATGGGGAGGAACTGCCTAATGATACAGAATTTTATTTTGGAGCAGTGGAAGTGTTTTGGCACCAGATAGAGGTGGTGGTTGCATGACATTGTGAATGAACTAAATGTGCTTGAATTGTTCATTTTTAAATGGTTAGGTTTATGCTGTGTGAATTTCATCTCAATCAATTAAAAAAATTTTAAGAATCAAAGATAAAGTACTTATAAGCTTAAAATTTGTGGAGGGAAGGTAAGGGCAAAAGATTACTTATTCATTGCCAAGGAGTTTATTCTCTGAGTCTCTACCCTCAAAGATGTGGGGTGAGGAGGAGGGTGAGTTATTGACATGGATAACAGAAACTTGGTACCTTTGAGGTAGGAAAAATCCCTAAGTCTCAGCAGATTTTAGTAACAGCACTAACATTTTAGTTTCTAAAGAGACTAGTTTTGTAGAAAACACACAGTGAGTTGGGAAAGTAAGTACAACACCATTAAAAAGAGACTCCCTGCCTCTGGTCTGGTGGACTTTTTCAGCTTCTGGGTATATCTGAATGGAACAGCCTTCTTAACTGGGAGACAGGGAAGTACAGTAGGTATAGCAAACTCACACACATTCACCTAGTGCCCCTTTCCCCCAAACTAAGGTTCTTTTTATATTTAATTGAGTAACAAGAGTGTCTAGGTCCAGCATTTGGTTAACTATGTACTTAAGTTTTATCATAACACTTTTTAAAAAAATTACATTTGAGCTCAGAAGAGTGTAGCATTCTGGCAGCCCTTAGAGGGTAAAAAATACGCAGCACCCAAGAGGGAACAGACATTGAGAGTGATCATTATTTTATATCATAGAAAAACAACTTTAGACACAAAGGGCTTTCAGGAGATTATCTAGTACAATTTCTTAATTTCCTGTGTGGGAAAATGAGGTCCAAAAAGTTGAAGTTTTCCTGAATCATGAGTAGCAACTATGGAAGAAGACCTCGTGTACCCAGTGTTCCTTCACTTACACCGAAAGGCATCAAATAAACATTGCCAGAAATTGTAACTGAGTATTACAATGAGGGGATTTGGTCAATTTAATCAATTATTTCCTCGTTGAAATATTGGCATCAAAATTTTAAGGGAATCTAAATTGGCCCCATAATTCTAATAATCAATCTACAACCAAACATCCCAATTTGTGGCACCAGACTCTGATTAGATGACCCTTGCCTTTTAAGCAAAACCTACCAGTCCTTTCCTTCAGGTAATGGTGAACACCACTTTGGGGGATAAACACCATTTCTAACCACAGTGACTGAGATAGAAGATCTGTGGCTGGTGCATTGGAGAAAGGATCGACTTGAGATCAAACTACATGGGCTTAAATGCCCACTCTACCACTAATTAGGTTTGAAATTACAGGTAGGTTGTTTAACTTCTGAGTTTCTGTTTCCTTACCCATTAAATAAGGACAACAACCTTCTCACAGGGTTGCTATAAGGGCTAAATGAGCAAATGTTTGTAAAAATCCCTTTGCAAACCATAACATTTTACAAGTTCTAAGCCATTTTTATTATCCTAGAAGAACGTACTTCAGGATTAGGGATGTTGGGATGGCTGGTCCAAGTTATACATGGCTTACTTATCATTTGGTTCTGTAAAAGCCAGTATTGCATAATTTGTCTGTCTCCTTTACCAGGGCTGGATTTTTGCCAGATGAAGAGTATGTTAAATTTGCTTTTGCACCCTCAGCACCTAAAACAGTACGTGTACCTGGTAGGCACGCAAAGTCTATTAAATATCTGTCACTGTCGACAATGTTTGTACACTCATCCCTACCCCTTAGCCTGCCCAAATACCAATTTCCAATACTACTTGGATTTTCCAATTCTGTTCTTACACCAAGTCACAACTACACATCTTATTTTCTCAAGTGATACCATATGTGTGTGCCCATAAGTGAAAATCTTACAAATTAAAAAAAAACAGGATTAAATCCCTCAAAATACACATTTTACAGTACATACTAAGTGCTATTAGTGGTGGATTACCAGTAACAATTGATGAGGATATTCTGTTATCTCTCTGACCCACTCACTAGTAAGTCTTGCTGTTTTTATGCTGCCCTCCGACCTACGCATTTCCAAGAACCACTGACATACAGCTGAGTAACAGTGATCCTCAGTAATAAAGACCCAGCTTCTTCATCCTAAGCTGGAAGGACATAAGTAAATGTGATCCATTTTACTAAAGCCTCTTTAAATTTCATATTCCTATCATCTGGGCAAGGCATGAGAGCAAAATTTTGTCTTTTTCAATGCCAGGGTGAAAACAAGAAGAGTGGGCTTTCATGGAGGTGATAATAGCTAATATTTATGCCATGTTTACTACACGCCAGGCATTGTTTTTCTGCCTCCTCACAATGCTTGGCAGGTAGCTCCTATGACTACCTGCCTTCTACATATGTGGAAATCAAGGTGAAGAACTTCAACTTCCCAAGGTCACACAGCCAATAAATGGTAAAGCCTGGATTCAAATAAATGATTGGTTTTCAGTGTCCTGCCTCTTAGCCACCATACCTGCTGCCTCTCACCACTAAGAATATTTATCATTCCTTCAGCTGACAAGGAGGATTGGGGGAAGTTGCCCAAAAGACCACACAGGTGCTTTCATAGACACCTACAGAGGAGGAAGGACAGGGCGAGTATGTGAAGATGGCGGGGTATGGAGCCAGGCTGCTTCAGTGCTCACGCGTGCTGCGGGACATGCAGCTGTTCGACATTGTTGAGGTTAGTTAACCTCTCCATCGTCCACATTTCACGGGAGGAGACCGAGGTATTAAGTACAACCTCACAGAGTTAGGTAGAACCCACATAAAAGCCCTTACTTATCACAGTGCCTGGCACATTGAGTGCTCAACAAATGTTAACTCTATTATGTCTCATCTTAGATGTGAAAGCTGATATATTTGCTGTTCATTGCATATGGTCCCAGCAGATCCTAGCTCTACTGTTCATTTTGCTGTGGTTTGAGAAAAATAGATCCTAAATGCCATGTCAGCCATGGAGAAGCAGCACGGACCTGGGAAAGCAATGGTAGGCGTGACACAGGTCCCTTTGTTGTCAGGGACTGTGACAAAGTAGGGCAGTAGAGCCTCTTTGTCTTCAGCTCATTTAACTATAATTACAACATTCAGACGTAGCCTTGCACACAGTGGCTGAAGTTTTTGGCACCTCAGGGAGTAAGACAATTTTACATGGATAAGTTATTTTCAAAGACCCTGCCAATAGTGTGTGATACAAATAGGTGGCAGTTTGAAACCTTTGTATTATGTGCATTGGTGTTCTATAGTTTCTAACTAGGGAAGAGCTGGGATCCATTATTTAATACAGTGAAATTCAAAATGCATTTGAAATTTCAATACTCTTAATGTTTTCTAGGCAAAAGGTATTCACCCTTGTTGGGGCCTTACTTTCAAAATAGCTCTGCAGGGTCTTGCCATGTTGAACTAGACCACAGGAGCTTCTAGGACTCCACTGGATGCTCTACATGACCGCCCCCCACTGAAGTTCTAGAGCCAAGGCTAAAGGAGGCCTCCTTGGTCCCTTTCCCCAGGTTTTCACCCAAAATTGGGCACTTGAGTTTTTAATTCCTTTGCAGGTGAAGAGTCTAGGTAAGTTAACAATAAGGAATAAGGAGCATTTGTCTCTAAGTTTGGAGCAAAAGTAACCTAAACCATGTAGTTCTAGGTTAAGTACTAAGACAATACAGCATAAACAGGGAAAAATCCCAACAGATAGTAATTACTCATATTTCAGTAGTAAGACATTGACCGGCTATTACCTCACAATAAATATAAGCAGAAATTTGGATTTCAGTTAATACATCTCATTCCCTCTCTCCAAAAAAGTGATGATCTATGACTTCCAAGAATGAAATTTAGCTTTGCCTGCTCTTTGGCCTGAATGCAGTAACAAATTTTAAGAGAAGTGTATTGTACAATCTTCAGTACGGTGTGTTGACTATCCTTTACTTTTGTGATTTGAAACTTCTGGCAAATGTGTGCATGAAAGTTTTTTTTTTCTTTTTAATTTGGGATAAGTAGGAAAGTTGGTCTGAATTAAGGATATTTAAAGAAACTTGTTCTTGTGTACCTATAATAGGTACTTGGCCTGTACTTGGCAATTTGCACTTTTAATTAGACAGATTCATAATGATACATAGTACATTGATGAAAGCATCCTTCCAAAGGTCTTAAAAAATTTGTTCCCTTGAGTAGGGCACATATTTGCCTCCAATATCTACACTATTCAATTTACTTGGCAGGCTTTTCCCCCTTCCTTTAGGATATACAGAGGTCAACTTTATGTCAGTCACTGGTAGGTCTTAATTACTCTGGACACTAAATTGGTGGCATCTGAGGAACTATAGCTTTGTTGTATTCAAAAGATTCTTGAATTACAAACAGGCCTTCCCCACTTTGAAGACACATTAGTTATTTCTTAGAGGAAAACAAACTGTAAAACTTACAAGGGAAGGGAAAAAAGACCTTACTGAGAGTCCTATAAGAAGACTTAAAACAGACATTCCATGTTTTTGGATACTGAGTGATGATAACTTTAACGATGTTTCTCAAACTAATTCTGCTAATGCAGAAATCTGGTTTTAGGTGGGGCAAGATGTTATAAAATTTTAAAGTTTATTTGGAAGACTAAATATTTAAGAGGAGCTAATAAAAAGAGAAGCAATGAGGGGAAACTTGTCCTATCAGACAGACCACTAGAATTAAAGCACATTTACGCCACAATATAGTATAAGTACAATAGGATTATCACAGTATGTTTCTGAAGCAAAGGCAGAACTGGAGGAGAGACTCATACATAAAAATAAAAGTCAAAAGGAGTCATCACAAATAAATAATGAGAAGAATATGTAGTTTTCAGATGGCTGACTAGCTAGCTATTTGGGGGTAAGGTATAATCAATTTGGCTCATGCCATACGAATCTGGTATTTATCTTGGAAGAGGAGAGTGAAATATGTAAAAAGTCAGGCAAAACAAGACAGAAATAGCAACCTTTAGAACAATAGTACAGAAAAGAGTCTCAACTATTTACTTCAAGAATTTTTAAAACCTTTATGTAAAAATAAGTCAATTGGAAAAAGTCACAAAACAAAGAGTAATCATTCAATATTATGTTGAACTCATACAAATTCTTAGGGGTTAGTTTGTAAAACTAGTAAGAACTGAATAGTAAAACTAATAACTGAATAGACAAACGGAATTAGTTATGTACGTACTATTTACAGAAGATACTGGATATGTTGAAAAGCGATCTATTTCTGATAATCAGTGAGGTTAAATCAGTGAGATCATCCTCACTTATGCAGGTAAAGTTTTCTTTGGTATAATTTTGTTCTGAATGCTGCTGAGGGTTTATAAGAGGTATTTAGATACACTGCTGGTAGGAATGTATGATATAGGAGAACTGTATTATACATCCCTTTATAAAACAATTTTGTAATTTGTACTAAGAACCTCAAAAATGATCCTGTCTTTATCCAACATTCCATTTCTGAGCATTTACACTAACAAAATGATTCTCCACACATAAATATAGCCAAATGTTTATGCCGCTTATAAGCAGCCGAGAAGGAACATTTAAACACCTGACAATGGGAGAATAAGATTGATGCAATCATATGTTAGAACAGAATTGGGAAACTTGGGCCTGCTAGCCAAACCTCGTCTGCTGCTTGTGCAGCCTGAATAGCTTGTCAGCCAAGGGTGATTTTTATATTTTAAATGATTGGGGGGTGGGAATCAAAAGAAGAGAAGAGTACATGACACATGTAAATTATATGAATTATATTCACATTTCAGAGTCCTTTCTTTCATGTGATGTTTATAGCTACCTTCACACTACAATGTCAGGGTTCAGTTGTTGTGATGGAGACGCTATGGCTCACAAGCTTAAAACATTTAGAATTTAGCCCTTTGCAGAAAAAGGTCTGCTGACCCCTATAAAAGTCAGAACATTGTCCAGCCTTTGAAAGTCTTCATGAAGGTTTGTAACAACGAGTTAAGCTATGTATGTTACAACGGTTAATAAAAAGGCAGGCTGTAAAGATGAATATATGTATCAAAATGACATAAAAACATGGAAAAAAGTTGCATTGTTTTGGGTACTGGGACCGAAAAGTAATGTTATATTCCTTTCTATTTTTCTTTTTTTCATATATTCTATAATAGCATGAATTACTGTATAACGGTGAATAAAGCTATTTAAAGCAAAGCACACGCACAGCTACTGAATTTTATGAAAGTCAGAATCTTAGTACTTACCCGTCAACACAACTTTTCCAGACACAAAGATAAGCAACACAATCCGTGGTTTCACCATTCTATAAATGAGGCCAGGAAATAGTTCAGGTTCATAACTGTTAAGATATAAAAGGAAAAAGTCAGAAGTAGCACTCGCTATGCAACTACTTTTCCATAATATTCAAGACCCAAAACACTAAAGCAGTTTTAAAAAGCTATTTTACCAAAAACCTTTCGGCCATCTTGATAAAGGTAGTCTTGGGAGTCCTAGGTAATTTCTGTGACAGTCAAGAACAGAACTCATTTTTCGTCATATTTTTCCAAATGCAAGTCACCCTAAGCTATTAGAAATGAAGGTAACTTAGGACATCAGATTTCACATTTTAAGATCTTGTTGGTTAAATGTTCTCCATTTTTTCAAAAAAAGTCTATCAATAAAAATATATAAACATGTCTTCTAAATTTACCAAGTTTCCCAATAATGAGTACATTTTGTATCTACTTACAAACTAATTGCTAAAGTTAACATTTTTAGCAGATAGCATGTAAAAAAAAATTCTAGACTGCTGTTATTTGTCTTTGGACAGATGCTGTATAGAGAAAGAAAACTTAAACTGTCTCAAGTTTTAAAAACTCAGAATTTGTTCCTATAGATAATAATACATTCATATTTACTACTAAGTGTAAGCTGGTTTCTCCAAGGAACAAGGGATAATTGAACAAGGAATTGCTTCTCCACATGCCAGCCATACAAAAGAGTTGTTGAGATTCCTAGAAAGGCTTGAGGAGCCTACAAAAAAAGAGGTCAAGAGTTAAGAGGAAGTTGATGAAATAAAACTATTCTCAAAACAATGACTAATGGAGTATAAGAAAAAGAAGAAATTTGAGAAATGGAACACTATAATACACATGAATCTTTGCACTTAAAGGGTGAATCCAGACCACAAAGAAAAACTCCATTCCATTTGACAATGAGTAAGAGCCATACCACAGGAGATGTGAAACCACTTATGGGCACCAAAAAAGAGGCATCACAGTGGTCAGGCTACCCATCTAAAGTATATGGAGTTCATTAAGGGTGGGGCATCACTCTACTTTCTTGCAGAAACCTGTCAAGACTTCTACCCACAAACAACTTACAGACACTAGGGAGACAATGATGCTAGCTGAAACCCTTAAAAATCTCTATGAGAACTGTGAGGTTTGAGCCAAGAAAGTGAAGACTTCCACAGAAAAAATGTTTCCATTTGATTTCCAACAAAATCTTAGGACACTCAAAGGAAAAAGAGAAAACAAAAGCCTTTGGTATGTAAATAGCTGAAAAATTCCCTAACCTAGGAAAGGAAATGTACAACCAGGTCCAGGAAGCACAGACAGTCCCAAATGGGATTAATCCAAAGAGAATGAAACCAAGACACATTGCAATTAAAATGGAAAAAATTAAAGATAAAGAGATAATATTATATACAGCAAGGAAAAGCAACAAGTTATGTACAAGGGAACTCCCACAAGCCTATCAGCTGACTTTTCAGGAGGAACTCTGCAGGTCAGAAGGTAGTGGTATGATATATTTAAAGTGATGAAAGGGAAAAATCTACAACCAAGAATACTCTACCCAGCAAGGCTTTCATTCAGATTTGATGGAGAGAGGAAGAGTTTCAGGGACAGGCAAAAGCTAAAAGAATTCAGCACCACCAAACCAGCCTCACAAGAAATGTTAAAGGCATCTAAGCAAAAAAGAAAAGGCTACAACTAGAAACATGAAAATCATCAAAGGAAAAAGCTCATTGGAAAAGGCAAATATGCAGTAAAGGTAGTAGATCAGCCATGCACAAAGCTAGCAGGAAGGCTAAAGGACAAGGTGGCAAAATCATCTATATTTATTCTCTGTCTCATTTCAAAAGAAGGTTGAGGCAGGAAAAAAAGAGGCTTTAGTTAGGGATGGGGAACATTTCATGAGGATGGAGAACCACAAACAGCTGCCAATCTCTTGGGCAACCCAACTTCAACTCATTGTTCAAGTCTCAGCTTAAATGTCACTTCCCTTAAGAAGTCTTCCTTGAGCTTCATACCTCTCCATCACGTTAAGTACCCTGCCTGATGGCACCGTAACACTCCAAGGGGTGTTCGCCTTCATAGTTACATTTCATTATTGTCTTTAGTGTCTCTGTTTTCCCTTTTAGGCAGTGGTTCCATAAGGGCAAGGGACCATGGCTGTATTGATTGCCACTACCACCATAGCATCTGCTACACAGTGGCCACCCAGATTTTACTCATTTAAGAAATACTTATTAGACTGTCTTTGATTTAAAAATTGAAGGGGAGGTACCAGAAATTGACACAACATTGTAAACTGACTATAACTCAATAAAGAAAAGAAAAGAAAAAAATCTAGAGCTAATAACGAAAAAAAAATTGAAGGGAAGGGAGAAAAGTGCACAGGGATAACTGAAACAATTATGACATAGAAAGACTGATGGAGAAGATGCCTAGTAACAAGGGAGATACTTGTATTTTCAGATACTGATATACATATTTGTAGAACAGGGGAATTAAATGCATTTGAGGTTTTAACAGAAAGCAAACTTGACCTGATAATTAAAACTGATATGTGCCATGGTTCCCTACAGGGCTTCAGGCAATTAAAAAGAGTCCTCATTTTAAAGACACAAACTTGCTGAGAAAGAGGTGTTTTAATGGCCCAATGTACCAAATACACACACTGGAGTCAAAATCTAACCTAAGGATGTAGAACATTTGGAAGAGGCAAGAATGAGACAAGAAAGAGATAGCTGCAGAAATACAAAGCAAGCTTCCTGGTCAAATTTTTTTAAAAAGATGGTTGAGATCATAAAACTGGCTCAGGACGAAGACAGAACAGTGATGGGCCTACTCCACTGGCTAAAAGCAGTGCATCTGATAAATTCTCATCTGGCCCTACAGGCAATTTTATCGTTCAGAGGTTGAAGTAGTGACAAGGGGCACTCCCACTGCAGACTTAAATCTGATCTACAAAGAAGACAATCTTCGTGAGAAAGAAATGAACTTTGGGAGGAATTGCACACATCATTTTAGAGCCCTAAATGTCCAGAAAGGGGGAACTAATATATTGATGTACCTTAGAATTGGGGCAGAGATCGTTCATAGGTTCAGAAAAAGCTGGTTCAGAGAAAGACTAGAGGCCCAACGTTGAGAACCTGGAAGATGACAAGTTTGTGTTGAGAGATTCTTAAAATGAAAGTTTTACTATGAATCTTCAAATTACCCCAAGATTGAAAAAAGGAAAGGATATCTAGAGAGGCAATATGTCTTGCATGGGGAGCTTTCCAGTGAACTCAATGGGTGCCTCAGTAAGCGTACAATGGAAAAAAATCAACACAGAAGGAAAAAGAAATTATAATCAAGGGGAAAATAAACATTGCCTGAAGAGTATCATGAAAGCTAAATCTCAGAAAGAACAATTTTTTTTGAATGTTAGGAAGAAACAAAGCAATTTTAAACTCTGTTCAGGTCACGTCTCAAAGGAAAGCTAACAAATGTTAGAGAAAGACAAGCTATCTGATCCCTCTCCATTCTGTTTAAACAGAATGATTGCTCAAAGGCAAAGGGAAGGAAAAGCAGAGTGAAAGGACTTCAGTTCAAGCTAGTTCAAGAGAATTTAAGAGCATCTGTGATTCTAAGCCAGTTTAAGCACCCTGCCCCAGGTGTATATCCCACCGGTGGTGGGATTCGGTGTTGACCAGTGAACCCCCATCACCACTCTCTGAGGGCCTGAGCAGGCTGGGAGAAACACCCAAGCAGCTGAGGGAAGAGGAGGAAGAGGAGCATTTGCTGTTGAGATGGGAAGTTACATATGAAGAAGCCAGGCAGGCTACAGATACTCCCCAAGGAATATGATTTCATGAAAGAAGAAACTGTGGTGGGGGCTCCAGCTACACACAGAAAAAGAAAACCCTTGAGCAAAATCAACAGGACAAAAACTAGATAAGATTGCCTTCATAGAATGTGCTATGGCCATTCTTTTTTTTTTTAATCTCTCCAACCCTTTCTCCCCTCACCAGCTGTCAGTCCCTTTCTACTTATCTAATCCATGTCACTACCCTTCCTTTCCCCACCAGTTCCACCCACCCCCCAGCCAGGTGTGCCCTGTTTTTAGAAATCTCTATATCAGGAGTCTCAACGTGTGGACCTCTGGCCAGCAGCACTGGCATCACCTGTGAGCTTGTTAGAACTGCAGCTTCAAGCAGAATCTCTAGAAACACTGGCCCAGGCAGGAATGTGTTTTGATACGCTGTCCAGGTGATTACTATGCAACTTAATTTTGAGAACCACTGTTTCAGAAGACTGAACACATATGGTAGTCAACTAGGACTTAGGCATAGCATCTTTACCCTTTCACCTATTGTGGCTTTTTAAAAAATTACATTTTCTCTGAAAGATACATTATATAAGCAGCCCATAATACAACTTTAATATCTTGGTAAACCCAAAGTTAAGTTATACAACAATCATACCTACTGAACTGCTGATGGGTTAGCACCAAACCTTCCAGCCTAATAGGAAATCTCACATCACAGCTTCCAACCATGTTCTGAATTTTAAAATCGAGGAATCTGGCAGGAAATCCCAGCTTCTGCACCACACGAGCATACTTTCTGGCTGCAAGTCGAGACTGCTCTTCACTTGTGCGGAGGGGAGGGGGGGGTGTGGTGGAGAGACAGACATAATGAAAGATGCCTTAATCACTATGACCGCTTTACTGCTTGGACTGTGTTGACATATGTCTCTGCTTGTACTTTTAGCATTTGTGCCATGTTTATCTTTCAGTATATACTATGAACCTGTAGACTTTGAGGACAAGGACCCACCTCCCCTACATTTGTTCCTCGCACCTAGAGAAAGGTATGGCACAATGCTGTTGTGTTCTGTTGTTGAACTGAATCATAAACAGATTGTTGTCTTCATTTGTCACTTTTCACATGGAAGGTAACTGTTTATTTTGCTTGTTTTAAGTGTTGTTAGAGAAAATTAACTCTTCCACTGGTTCTCAAAGTGTGGCCTCAGACCACCAGCAGCATTACTACCTGAGAACTTGCTAGAAACGGAAAGTCCTACATCCCACCTCAGATGTGCAGACACTCTGGGGAGGTGAGGGGTGGGCAGAAGTGTATGTTTTAACAAGCCCTCCAGTGATTGTGATGCTAAGGTTTTAGAACCATCCTCTGGTCTAAAAGTGTGTGCCATTTAGATGGGAACAACAGCAACAAAAATAAGGACACATGCACATGGAAACTCAACATGAGGAAGTGAGCTATGTGCCAAATGAGGCAGGACGTCAGAACCTGGGTCTTTATGGGACAAATTACATACTTAAAATACCTCAAAACCTGCCCAGCTTTGCTCAGACTTTCTCACACCATTGACATTCAACTCATACCCAATATGAGGAAGAAAGAAACTCATCCACCTCTGCGACTATATTCTTCTGTTTGTCCTACTCCACCTCTAAATCCCTGTCAGAGAATGTGAAATCCTGGGATTTTGGGGCTTTTTGTTACATACTTTTCAGTGGTCACTACTAAAACAAAACAATGAGTAGCAAGGGGTTGCCAAACAGGGGCAACACCCAGTGGGTGAATCCTATGAATTCTACCCTCTCTTATGAGGTATCCCTGTCTTTAGTTGAAAATCAGATGCACCTTAAAGAAAAGCCAGACTGAGCTTGCTCGCCTGGACCAAGGGGAGCGGTAGTGTCTCTTTCCTACCTAGAGCCATCGCAACACTCTCCTTTCATCTTGATTCTCCTCATCAATTTCTAACTTCTGAAATGTCCTTGGCAAGGCTGTGTCCCCAAGTTAGCAGTGAAATAAATGGTTTCCACGTTGAGAAACCACATTTCGCCTAACTGACCTATTACATTTCCCACAGGGCTAATGTTTATAAGGCAAATTTCAAGGTCAAATTTCATAGCCCTGTAGTTTTCTGGATTACACAGAAATTCCCATTCAAACAACTCACAGTTAATGTTTACACACATGCTCTTGTACAAACACTAGAAAACAGACTAAGAACCTTAAAATTTCACCACCAGTGGTCAGAACCACTGATAAATTTGGCCCCTCTACACCTTTCCTATGCAAACACAGGTATCCCTCACTAAGCAAACTCTGGTTATTACAAACTAAAGAGAATAGGTTTGGATAAATTTTTGGAGATAATTCTGATATCTTATACTACACAAACTTTCACAAGTCTCTATCCACAACTCAAGAACCAAATATATTTGGATAACAAATGTCTCTTATTTATCTGAACTTACCATCCAAGCCTGCACTATCAGATTTTAGGAACCAAATAAATTCAGATGGGGAAAAACGCTCATGAATGTGTATATGTGTGCTCCCCTCCCCCAAGTTAACATCCTTCCAACTCCATATATATGGCTAACCATAATTTTATGATCTAATCAAAACCATGTTACTAGATATTGGTTCCTCCTTGCCCCTGTTTTAAACAATGTCTAAATGAATGTCCTTGCAGATCTCTTGCAGAGTTGTCCAATAATGGAGACTTAACAATGGAGATTTCTAGGTCAAAGGATTCACAGATCAACAGAAGAGAAAGCTCAGAAACTTACTCAGACACGGGTAAGGAACTTAACATGTAAAAACAGGTTGGGAGAAAATAGATTAAAATGGATTCTTTAATAAATACACTGAGACACTGTCCATTTGAGAAAAAATTATCGTATATTGAAATAAAATTCTAGACTTGCTCTGCCCAACATGGTAGCCACTAACCACATGTGGCTCTTTAAATTAAAATTAAATAAAAAGCTCAGTTCCTCTGTGGTATTAGCTATATTTCAAGTGCTCAATAGCCGCATGTCACTAGAGGTTACCACACTGGACAGCACAGATACAGAATATTTCCATCATCCAGAGAAAGCTCTAGATGAATCAAAACCTTAACTTCCTTTCTTTAATACAAAGCAGGATCTGAAAAAGCCAGAGAACTACACAGAGGTCAATACTTATATCACGTGTACATGGGGAGTGCCTTCCTAAGAAATGAAGCCAAATACTGAAAACATAAGGAAAAAAATTGGATAGACTATACACAAAAAAAATTAAAATGTGTTTTTAAAAAACCATAAAACACCATCAACATTAATATGGGAGAATATTTACAGTATAAGATGATGAAAATACTTAAATACCAGAAGACAAACCTCCCCCTAGAATATTGGGCAAAAGATACAGTAGGCAGTTTGTGCTTATGAAAAGTCAGTCTCATTAGTAAATTAAAAAATGTAATTAAAATAACAACTTTTTGCCAATCAACTTGGAAAATCTAAGAAAAGACATTAACACCCAGCATTCATCAGAGACAATGAACACTAGGTACAGCTCTCGAGCGAGGAGAATATGGTGCAACCTTTCAGGAGGACAATTTACTGCTCATCTCCTCACACTTAGAAGGAAGAGCCTCTCTCCTACTAGTTTTATGGTGAAAGGGTCTCCATCAGCACAGGGCTACCTCTGCATGAGATCCAGGAAAGACGAGCCTTCTAAGAGATGCCTCCTGAGCGAATGTGCAAGCTAATGGTCAAGAAATGTCTAACCTCCCTCCTTTAAAAAGTTCTATCCATTTATCTGCCTGCCTTGAGGAAAATACACAAGAATGACTCCCCCAGGTTTATAACAGGCTTTACCACTCCCATAGCTTTTTTCTTTTTTTAAAATACACCTTAGAAACAAATTGTAACCCCCTAATGAAGCCCCTTTCATTATGGGGGACTGTAAAGTGGAATATGAGGCAGTATTATGAGGCTGAATGTTTTTAACCCAAAATTTGGCATTTCATGAATTTCACTCTTCAGTGAAGTGTTCTGCGTCTACTCTGTGTTCTAGGACATGAATGCCATCCTTCCGTGTTTTACATTTTGAATGAGTTGTCTGGTAGTGGTGGAGGGTGGCTCCTCATACCTTTTGGCTCCTGTGCAGACCATCTTCCCAGAGCTAAATATGAGGGCTGTTGTCCTGGGCTCTCGGATCCTCATTATGACAGCAGCAAACCTCTACACACAGAAGCCAAAAGGACAATTAGCCTCTGCTAGCAGTTAACACTATTCCAGTTGAAAAGCTGAGCTGGGCATGAAAACAGTCTTGAATAAACTGAAATTTAATGGGAAAACTGAAAAATGGCTAGGTCTATTCTCCCCCACATTAAGGTTAAGAAAATTATCATGGTTCTAAAATGTGCTTAGAAAGAACAGGTAAGAATAATAACAGTAAAGCTAAAATTTGTGTGTTATGTTTCAGAACTTATGCTTAGAGCTGTACAGGTTTTATCTTCATGACAGGACAAAGTTGAGTCCATTATAATTCCCATTTAGTGCACAGGGAAAGTAAGTGGTTACTTAACTTCCAACATTACACAGGAAACAGTAGAGTAGAGATTTAAAACTATGACAAATCAGACTTCATGCTTCTTGCTTTGAAGCACTTTTCTTTCAAAGAATTTTTGAGAAAAAAAGAAAGAGTATGAAGTATGTTACAGGTTTACCAAGACTCTAGAATGTACTAAAAAGGAGCCAAAATATAAAACAGAAAAAATACATATATATATACATGGGCATTTCAAAAGATGAATGACAGTTATTTGTCAGGTTCTTGCCTGCCATAATTCTCAGTGTGGTCCCCATGCCGGTAGCATCTTTAAGTCCTGGTGCTGATGCAGGGGAGGGCTGAGAATGACTGGCCTGCCACATTGACTGGTTGCGAAATGACCTGCTCCTCCTGGTTATACACAGACCCTCGTCATGCCCTCCCGCCCTCCCCATTAAGCTGGGAAGGAAACTGGAGTGAGTACCATGCAAGACTGAAGTTCCCATAGGTCAGAACCACTCCACCATAGGACCATAGATCCCTCCAAGGCTGGACCAGCAATTTCAGATTTGACATGTTCACAGGCGGTAAAATGAACCCTGAGTCAGCACTACACAGAGCCGATCAAGTCCTATTAATGTTTTCCAGGTGTTTATTGAAAAGGTAGCACTCTCACCTGGTATTCATTTTGTTAAATTCTAAAGCACCTCAAGGGATAAGCCAGAATTTCTTTGGCTGTCAAGTCCCAGTTTGGACAGATCCTGTACACTGAAATAAAATGATGGGAGAGCTGAAGATGGTGGAGAATAAAATATGCTTAAAATGTTGATTGCTCAGTAGTGTGGTTAATCATAGCTGCAGCCATAAAAATCCCAGCTCATTACTAGGTTTCTGTCCCTATCATAGCCAGCTACACGAAATATGAACAGAAAAGCTG